GGGCTGGCAGGGGTCTCCCCGTGGTCCCCTCCCCCAGTCCTCCCTTCCCTGCCCCTAGTATTTACCAGCTCGGAGTCTGGCTGCAGCTCTCTGTTGAGGCCACCAAGGACTCTCCAAATAAATCATCAAAGGTCTCTGAATCTTTTCTGAAAATTCAGAGAGCTTTGAATTGATTCGGACCTTATTGGTCCCCTGATTAGATTCAGATTCAGAGATTTGGCCACCAAATCAAGCCGAATTGCCTCCAAATCGAATCACCACCCGAAGCTTCGCACAGCCCTAAATTATTTACATGATTCCAGGATCAGTTTTCCTTCTTCATTCAACATGGACAAAACAAAGCCTCATCTTAGAATTGAGCTGTGGAAAGCAGCAGTCTCCCTAGCTGTTTTAGGTTCAGGGGGAGCCCCAAAACTTCTCCTGACTCTCTCCTGCATGGTGCTGCAAGAGCAGCTATGTAGGGAGCCCAGCACAGCCAGGGGCAATGACAGCAGTGGGGTCAGGCTGCTTGTTTCCCCACTGCCAGACCCCCACTGCCCGCCCCTGCTTTCCCCACCATTTGCCAGCTTGCCGCTGCTTTCCCTGCTGCAGTGTTGGAGGGGACAATTTAAAAATAGTTCTCCACAATTTAATTATTAGGGGGGTCTTCTTAAATTCAGTCTTCTTGGATTCAGGTAAATATGGTATTTTGCCCATATAAATCTGCATGAATAGACTGTGGACTGGCCATAGGAGGGTACACACATAGTCTAGACATGCTTGTACCAGAGCTCAAGTCCCAGAACAAAATGGGGAAGGGGAAGGATGACCGTAACATGGACTTTTAGCACCTTGTTATGAGGAAAGGGAAAGTATTGCTGAGAGGCTTCAGGCTCCTCTCCCCTTCATACCCCCCACCCCCAAGTGAGACTTGGGGCACAGATGAGGACCACCATAGAAGGTGGGGTCAGGTGATTAATTAATTCTAAGGCCCAACAGCAGAGGGACTGACACACTGGAGGTAATCTAGAGATAGATAAGGTGAGGAGGGAAGAGTAAGGGGAGGAGGGAAGAGCCAGAAGTTCAGTTGTCTAGACAGAAAGAAGGACTCTAAAAGGCAGAGAGTGAAAGCCTGAATCCTGGAACCACGTGGAAGGAGCCTAGGAGAGAGAGCCAGCTCCCCAGAAGGGGAGAAGGGTAGACTTAAAGCTGTCAGCTCGCTGATAGGGGGAAGGACTTTGAGTTGTAAAGCAACAGCTTGTATTCTTTTCTTTTTCAGTTAAACATTACTGGAGGCAAGGGTGTGGTTGGAAAGAGGTGAAGAGGAGGCCATGTGGGATGCCAGAGAAGCATGCTGGACTTTGGGCTCATCCAAGGGGGTAGGGGTGTTTGGAATAGGTAGAATGCCTAGAATGCATGTGGCCTCTGTAGTGTGGGCTGTAGAAGCTGAGGCATGAGAACAGACCTGAGGTGAGAAGGACCTTCCAGGTAAAAAGAAGGCAAGGCCAGGAGGGACAAGGTGTTCACAACAAAGTAGAGGACTATCAGTGCTACCAGGAATGGACAAGTAGCACCATGGAGGTAAAGACTGGTAACACTTGTGAGGCATGGGCAGGACTGTAAGGCCCTGAATTTGGCCCTTATAGTATCATAGGAAGAGATGACTTGTTAGGAGATCTCCTTGAGTTTTTAGAGAGCCTCTCACCCATTTTCTAAAAGTAACAACAAGATGTGGTAGGAGGAGGCACTCAGGCAAGGGTGCCAGCTACTCAGTTAGCCCCAGACTTGTTACAATGGCCTTCCAATGTTTCTGGCCCAATAGCTGATTGTTCTGGGGACTACCCCAGGAGCTAAGGTCCTCTTTTCATCCAAAGGGAGTTGAACCTATGTCCTTCTGACTTCCCAGCATAGTGCACTAGCCACCATAGCATAGGTTAGGTGCTGATAAGCTCTTTTCCAGCTCCTTTTGAAGTGGAGCTGCTGCCTCTTGCATTTACTAGTGTTTGGAAGAAATGATTAGAGGACAGCTGAAAGAAAAGCTTCTGCCTTAGTGTGAGCCAAGGTCAGACTAGAGCTCAGGATTAGCTCTTTTGCTAGGTGGCAGCTGTCTAATGGAGCCACACACCCTTTGGTTTGTGTTTGTCCAGGGGACCAGCCTGAAAAGGAGTGCCAAAGAGGTAGTTGGCTAATTCCTGAGCAGTGACATGGTGGTTAGAGCACTGCTGAGAAACCAAAAAGATACTGCTTCAAACCTGCTCTGTGTGAGGTTGGGGTTAGGACCTAGTTCTTTAACTTCCTATAGATAGGCCCTATTTGCTCTGGGTCTAGCCTCTTGCTCTTCCAGTCTCACGTGCATTAGTCCCAGGGTTTTTGCTATGCTTTCAGGAGTTGGAAAATGGTATGCATCCACAATGGTTACATGTACATCGCTGTGCAAGCACATAGCCAGTGCCTACTGTGCTTTATTGTCTGCATGTGCATGCTTACTGCAAGGGAAATAGGATTGCTACTGGCGTGTGAGTTGCATTTTTGGAACCCTCTGTATTTCACTCTCCCAGGCTGTAGAACATATGTATATTCTATTTTCCTGAGGCTAAATAAGAAGTCTATGCTATTCACATGCTTGCATTCAACACTACTGGAAATGCTACCAGTTTTGGTTCATCATAACTCTCACTGTGCTGATTTGGATGAGAAATCATTATATCCAAGTTTTATCTCAATGTTTTTCCACACACAGGGAACTCATGAGTGTCTCAAAGGAAATGCGAAAGCCTTGTCCACTGTCACAGCCATCATTGATGGAACTGGATCTATAGGTCAGTATGGATGGTGTAACACAGTATGAGCAGCAAACCACTCAGTTAACTTCTACAATAGATGGAGAACCTACTCCAAGCTGTATTGACCCTGGACCACAGTGAAGCCTTGTCTGGGTGGGAGCTATATTTTTTTATCCCAAAGAAGAGTGGGATTCAGCACCCCTTCCTAAAAGGACTACAAACTGCTGCAGGGGCACCACACTCTTTGCTAAAGGGTAGGCAAAGGGCAAGGAGAGTTGGTCCCTGCTGTTATCTATAATGGGGGTTGACTGGGCCTATAACTATAGCCATTCTTAGGCAGACTGTAGTGAAGGGATACAGACAGAGGGGGACGTGTGTGTTTCTGAGGCCATGGGGCTGAGGGCCGATGGTGCTGTAAGAAAGATTGCAAACTGAGCAACAGGGTTTAACTTTATTCAACAAAGCGCTGTGGGAGCTGGTATGATGACCAGGAATCTGGCTTTTCCATTCGCTACAGAGAAATGCGGAAAAGCACAGATTTATCATTTTAAGGAGAAAAGGACAGGCTTTCTCTTTTAAGGAGAAAAATGCAGCTTTTCCTTTTTTAAGGAGAAAAAAACAGATTTTCTCCATTAAAAGAGGAAAATGCAGGGAATGGCATGTTTCCCCTTGCAGGCTGGCAAAGTTCCAGCCTGCAAGGGACTGGGGGAAGCGGGAGGAGGGGGATCAGGAAGGGGGCGCCACGTGTATGTACGCATGCACTCATGCATGTGGCAGCCAGGCAGCATAAGTGCAGCTCCTACAGCTTCCCGCAGGTGAGTTGGGGTTGTGGGGGGTTGTGAGGGAGGGAGGGAGTTGAGAAGGGCTGGGAGCACTGTCCAGTTGGTGTTGGTGTGTGGGGCCTGGGGCTTGGGGCTTGGGGCCTGGGCAGGAAGGCGTGGCCACAGGCTTGTCTGAGGCACATCAGGGGGGTGGGAGAGGAGGGCTGGTTCCCTGCCATTGCGTGTACCCTCAGGCAGGAGGCATGGGAGGGCACATGCCCACCAGATTTATGTGCAGGGCAGATGCAGTCCAGGGACCTGGGTTTGCAGCCCTCTGCTCCGCTCCCGCAGTGCCGAAGCCCTGGATGTAGTCTGTGGGAGGCAGTGGCTGCTGCAGCCCAAGCAGAGCATGGAGCCCGGCTCTCACTTCTCCCATGGGCGGCACGGCCGGAGTGGAGCCCAAGCAGGGAAGCAGACCCAGGCTGATGGCTGTGGGCTCAGGACTCCCCCCACTGTTGCCCTTCCCCTGGGGTATCCATGGACCAGCATGCGGGAGGGGTAAGGTTGCTGGGGCCAGCCCAGGTACTGGCCTCAGCATCCCCTACCCCACCCAGAGTATTTTTCTTTGCCCTAAACCCACGTGCAGAGGGGTGCGCACCAGGGCAAAAAGCAGCGGTGTGAATTTGTGCTGCTTTTCTTTCCTCGCGGCAACCACGCCCCTGCTCAGGGGGACGAAGCCTATCTGTGCTGATGTCAGGAACAGGAGAGTTTCTGTACATACCTGCTTCCTGCACTGCTGGTCACATGTGGATCAATCTGTTTAAGCTTTTGAGTCCAAGCAGCTACTGCAGTAACTCTAGGAGAGCTTGACCAATACATTTTGGTGAGCACAGTCAGGAGCACCAGACAACACTGATTACTGACACAAGCTTCAAGGGTGAGGTTGGAACAAAAGGCAGTGGCTGTGGGATTAACATAAGGAGATGATATATAAGGTCCGCAGCCTAGAGCCTTTGGCAGCCTTCAAATATACTCCCAGGTATGTCAGAATTGCTGTAGGGTCTGAGCATGGATTGGATCCCCTGCAATGTGCTTCATTTGATGTCTTCTTGTGACCTTGCTGTCCTTTTGTAGGTGCTGCTCTGGGCCCCCTGCTTGCAGGATTAATCTCTCGTACAAGCTGGAACAATGTCTTCTACATGTTAATAACAGCTGATCTCTTGGCTTGCCTGGTAGGTTCCTTTTTAACTGACTAGCACCGAGACTATAGGATGTATATTGGTCCCAGTTAATGGTCTGAAGTCAGGGCCAGTGGTCATGTCTGACTTCAGAGGCTAAATAGTGGTTGGTGTTCAGTCAGGTGGCTTTTAAGAAAAAGCCTGATCTACAGAAAATGATTATAAGGATGTCACTACTGAGTTACCAGTGAAACATCATCCCAGCATTGTGTAGATTTTATGTTTTAGTTGGTACCACCAAAGGTCTAGACTGTGGTTGGGTTGGACGGTACCTCAAGGGTCATATAGACTCCCACATGAATGCAGTACACACTGTTTTGAAACCATCCCAGACTAATGCTTATCCCACCTCCAGTGACGATTCTACAACTTTCATGTTAAGACAATTCTCCATTCCTCCTTGAGGTGGCTCTGTTTCAGTGGCTGGACTATTCCTAAGGCATAGAACATTCTGGGATCCATCAAGATAAAGACCAAAGTGCTTTGTAAAAGCAGGACTATCACTCACACTAAGTTGTGTCCTCTTTTTAAAGTCATGTAATGAATTGCCTTGTCTGTTTAGAGCAGGGGTGCTCAACCCTTGGACTGTGGGCCGGCTCTGGCCTGAAGAGCCATGGCATTCCACCTGCAGGGCTCTCCCCATGGGTCTGGAAATTTGGTGGCAGGGGAGCAGTGGCACTTAATACTGCCACCTTTCTCCACTGCCAAATTCCCAGACTGTATCCCACACCAGCCCAGTATGTAGCCAGATCAGGGCAAAGCCATATCCCCTCCCCATACCCCACTGCACCTACCCCTCAGGCCCATCTACCAGATCCAGCCAATGGATGGACCAGGCATTGCCCATCAGGCCTATGAGCCAAAAAGGTTGGGAACTACTATTTTAGAGTGCTTAAGCCCACCAGGTCTTTAACACTGTGAGGTGACCCCTGGATCTTAATAAAATGACGTTTCTGAACCATTTCACCTTTCCAAACTCCTTTGCACTGCACTAGAGCCATCTGAAGAACATCTGCACTACTTTTCTCCCCTTTATATCCTGTATTATTAACAAGACAGTGATTTCTGTGAAGGGCAATGTAATACAGAAAGCAAGAGACTGGCCTGACAGTGAGGTAGCTTTGATTCTCTGCCACTGTTCTGCTCTATGATCTTGGGCAGTCACTTCTACTTTCTGTTCCTATTTTCTCTTTGCTGTTTAGAATGTAAATTCTGAGCAAAGACTGTCTCAGGGGTCAGGGTCAACAGTCCCCACCCTTGGTTAGAGTTGTACTATTGCAATATCACTGCTTGCCTCTTCTCATATTTTCACTTCATATGATGACAGTTATGCTGAAGTGAGCAGGCTTCTTGTAGCTTGAATAATGGCATGCCTTTGCCATTGTTGTGTTCTCTGTGCTCTGTCAGGAGTTAGCTACTCTTCTACTCTGTGCTGTAGGACTTAGACTGTGTTTGATTTCAGCAGCAGG